TCACAATCCGCTTGCTTGTGGGACCGAAAGGAAACTCCACCGAAACATGTAGCATTTGCGAAAGTTTTTTTGCAGCGCCAATTTGAGAGTCTGAGGAAACAGATGGTAAAAAATTTAAGAGCTCGAAGCCATTTCGCTCTATTTAGGATCGATTTTTTTTATTGGATTTTAAAACAGTACAAGCATAACTTTTCATGACTGAAAACGCCACCTTTTTTGCCCTGCTAGGTGTACGAAATTCAACGATACTGGGTGTCCCCGCCAAAATTCAATATTTTCTAAAGAGTTCCGAAGATGTTTTCTGAGACTTCGGCTGCGGCCTTGAAAAGAATATAAGTAATTATTAATAAAGTTACAGCAAATGCTCAAATCAAACTAACATTTCTTTTTGAAATCTAGATGAAGGCTCTTATGCAAAAAGGAAAACGCTAACTGTGCAATTTATTTCCAAAATGAAACGCAAAGCTCACGGGGTTTTGAATCGTTGACATTTACAATTCACTCCAAGCGTATTGAACATCACGATCCTTAAATTTCACATTGAAATTACTAATTTACGTAAAAAACTTATTTTTCATTCATATCTCAAAGCCTATAAAGTACTTCGTTACCTGGCAGAAAGTTAAACTTTTCTGAAAAAGATTATTTTTAACTCTAAAAAAATAAATCACAGTACTTTTCATCCCGCAAACCTTTCTAAAGAGTTCGTTATGCTCAAATGTCTTAAAAATCGTGTAGATCTACACATAAAATCCTTATATTTTCGGCGTGATTAAGTCCTCAGAACTTAGATCGGTTTAAAACAATCAAACTGCAGAACCTCTTTTTCTGTTTCTTTTTCCTTCTTTTTTCGGCAACAGGAGCAGTAACTTAACTCACTGAACTTTTGTCTTACGTGTGAGTTGGTTCCCCCTTAAAATGGCTCCTACCTCCAAACTCAAACACGCACTTTATTTCAGTTTCTCAGCGATCAAATATGCACCTTTATGTAAATTTTGAGCTCTGTCTATGTGCAAAATGACTGTTCAATTAGGCTAGACTGATATGATTTGTTCAAGAATAACTTAAGATGACCTTCAGTATTCATTGGTGTAAGCCACAAAATTTCGATTTCATTTTAATCAGATTGACCGCTGCATTGCCTGAATATCTTCGTCATGGAAATCAGAAGCATGAAAACGTTCACCTGTGAAACATGATTGAAATAGAAAAAGAAATTCCCAGCTTTTTCGTGATAGCCAAGCTTGCAAAACATTATGCGATAGTGCTTGCCTCAATTGTTTTTTATTTTTGTTTTGTTTTTTTGACCCTTTAATTTCAATTCTAGTCTCAAATTGTTGGCATCTTAACCGTGCAAATGTTTTATTTCAATTCCAGCCTCAATTTGTTGGCATCTTAACCGTGCAAATGTTTTTACTGATAACTATCTCCTCGTCCGAAAATTGCTAGTAAAAACAGGCCAATACTTCTGAATTAAAAAAATTCTCGATCCCAGGTGTTCTCTGACTGATGATTTGGCTATTAAAAATGCCCGCATGTACTGTACTTATCACTTCACCGGAATCAGCTCACAATGTTACTTGCTTTGCTTTCGATCTTCCACGTCTTCGAGCTCTGTAGGTGGTTAATTAAAGATAAACTTCGAAGGGTCTCCGTCTGTTTTGAAATTTTTCTGAAGTCAGTCGCGATTTTGCAACAAAAAGCGGCGAAACGAGAGAGTTTAAAGTAAAATAAAGTAAAAAAAAAAATTATTTTTAAGGTACCAAGAGATTTTCATAAAATGAAGTTAACATTGAAGGGAGAAAAAGAGTCTCCTATTTTTGACGAAGAAAAACCAAGACACAATCTACCTCAAGATTTGACAAATGGATGTCAATGAGTTAAGTCAAACTTACCGTGCAATGCAGTAATAGGCTACATTTCTTGAATTAAAGTAAAAAGCGTTTTCGTCAGTTTCCTATCATTTTGAAAATAATCTGTATTGGAGAACTGAATGTGAGATTTGTTTTGACGCCTCAAAACGATTTTAAACATTTGAACTACACCTCCTATGTATAATGGTTTGTTTTTGTGATGTCATAAGAGAATATAGACAGCTTGTAATCTCTCGGAAGTCATAAATAAATATCTGTGACGTAACGATATTCGAGTTTCTGTAGAGGTTCTTTTAGCCCGCGAGCTAATTTCATACCCAGACCTTACCGAGTAACTGTAACCGAACGTAGCTTGGCCGTGCCAAGCCTTTTTGAGACGCGGGTGGCAGCTGGAAGTTAAAACTTCTCATCCCTGTTGGTCCCGTCGCTCAGTACACCTCTTTGGTAAACACAGTATGGTTTAAAATGCTGACGTGACGACCTTATGGTCGATACATTAGCGTCAAAGCGCACCAGAATTAGCTTTATTCTTATTGTGGTTGCCGTCAGCGTCTCAAAAACGTCTCTGCTGAGGTTCTCTATAGAGGTTTTGCACAGCAGCCATGTCGGATGGCAAGAACAATTGATTATTTTTCCCATGGGAAAAAAATTTTTCTTATGCAAAATATTTTCATTGTTCCTGCCATCCAACATGGCTGCTGTGCAAAACCTCTAGTACGTATGATGCACGATCCTTCGCAGTAGATAGCGCTATTTATGCAATAGCGAAAATCAGGCCTGTACGGGATTCGAACCACTGACCTCTGCGATACTAGTGCAGCTCTCTACCAACTGAGCTAACAAGCCAACCGGGAGCAGGCCGTTAAGTTGATTCGTAATAAACCCGTGATGATGAATCTGATACAATGAATATATGAAGTTCATATATTTTGAACTGCGGTATTAAATACGTATGATGCACGATCCTTCGCAGTAGATAGCG